ACTTCTTATGTGGACATACTAATTATGTTCACATAAGTTCACACATTACATAAATAAGTTCACACCCTAGTACATGTATGTAGCTACTAATCTAGTTCATGAACTAATGTGAACTAGTGTAGACTAATGTGAACTAGTGTGGACTAGTGTAGATAAGACAATAATACATTAATTTAACACTCCCCCTTAATGTTTTGTTCTTGGACTCCCAAAAGCTCACGAAATTTGATGAACTTCTCCTTGGGTAGCGCCTTGGTAAAAATGTCCGCAACTTGATCCTCGTACTTGCAAAACTTTGGCTCGATCACTCCTTCTTCAACTTTTTCTCTGATGAAGTGATACTTCACTGCTGTGTGCCTTGTTCTGCTGCTGTAAATTGGATTCTTTGCCATTGCTATGGTTAACTTGTTGTCACAAAATAACTTTGTTGCGTTGTCTTGCTTTTCTCCAACATCTTCTAAAATTCTTCTAAGCCAGACTGCTTGAGAAGTTGCAATTGCTGCTGAAATATATTCAGCTTCTGCTGATGATTGTGCTATTGTTTCTTGCTTCTTTGATTGCCAAGAAAATGCTCCCGATCCAAGTGAAAACACAAAACCAGATGTGCTTTTCATGTCATCTTTTGAACCTGCCCAATCACTGTCACAAAATCCAATTAAAGTTAATTCTTCACCTTTGAAATATTTGATGTCATAAGCCAAGGTTCATTTGATGTAACGAAGAACTCGTTTGGCTGCTCCAAGGTGAATATGACTGGGACTTTGCATAAACCTTGACAACAAACTAGTAGCAAACATTATGTCGGGCCTCGTAGCCGTTAGATACATCAAACTACCAATGATACTTGTGTAAAGAGTGTTGTCCACTTTTCTTCCACCATCATTTTTCATCAGCTTCTCATTTGAAGCGAGTGGTGTTGGTACTGCTTTACACCCAAACATATTAAACTTTCTAAGCATTACTTCAGCGTAGCTTTGCTGAGAAACAAATACTCCATCATCCTCTTGAGTAACTTCAAGACCAAGAAAATGATGCAATAACCCAAATCACTCATTTCATATCTTTTCATCATGTCTTTTTTGAACTCAGTAACTGCAGCCTCATTGTTACCGGTAAAAATCAGATCATCAACATAAATCGCAACAATAAGAATAAAGTTACTTTGCTTCTTGACATAGAGAGTAGGCTCGCTTTTGCTTTTAATGAACCCACTTTGCAAGAAGTACTTATCAATTTGACTGTACCATTGCCGGGGTGCTTGTTTCAACCCGTACAAGGCCTTCTTGAGCTTGTATACTTTATCTTCTTCTCCTTTAATCACAAAGCCATCAGGTTGATGAACATAAATTTCTTCTTCAAGTTCACCATTCAAAAAAGTTGATCTCACATCAAGTTGATATAATAACCATCCCTTCTGTGCTGCTAATGCAATAAGTGTCAGAATTGTACCTTTGAGGNACAGTATATTTTATTTGCTAATTGTACATCATGAGTTCAATTCAGAGCTCTGATATGCATTCGACTAAATTTCTCCATTTCTAGGATAGGATCTTGTAATGCATCAATGCAGAAGTTCCATCAAAGCCTTTACTACGGAAGAAGTCTGTATATTCCTTCACTGTGGTTGCACGATACTTTGGCGGATTACATTCTGATAACAATTCCTTAATTGGTCCATAAATCTTGGAAGACGGAAATGCACCTGTGCTGAAGAAGCTTGGGACTGATATTCTTGGACCTACTTGATTTGACAATACTCTATGCTCAACACTTATATACTTGTCATTTGATATGAGCTGAAAAAACATCAAAAGTTAAGCACATTTTGTCTCAATACCAAGACAATGTATTATGATTAAGTCACTCTAATTAAGAAGTTAACTCGTTTCTTCTAAAAGCTTAAGTATTACAGTCAGATTTCTCTATAACGGCTATATAACAACCGTTCACTATAAAAGCCAAGTTTCTTTTGAAACCAATTTTCATACTATGTTATAATATATGTTCTCTATAACAGCACTTCGCTATAACAACCAAAAAAAAATGGAACAAACGAGGCTGTTATATAGAGGTTTGACTGTATTAGCAAAAAACTTCTAACCTGCAGCATATCGCCAATATTCACCACTAGAGCACCGGACGTAGGAGGAACATCAATCCACTGATTTTGGTGAAGAACTTGTAGACCTCCTATATCATCTTGCAGAAGAACTGTCATAAAAACACAGTCTGAATGCTTTCTGGTGCCTATAGTGAGTTCCGGCTGAGGACATGCCGGATAGTAATGGTGGCCAATAGATAGCCCCTCAGCAATGTTCATATCTTTAAGATGCCAAGAATTGAGACCGAGGCCCTCGGACAATAATTCGAGTAATGAGTAGCCTAATTTCATCATATGCTTAGAGAAATCCATTAAAATCTCCCTGCAAAATTTTATAAAACATAGATAAAGCTGCAGATACAAAATAGTATACTCAATTAGTTTTCAGCAACTTGCAAAGTTGTTATTTTCCATATTGTCCACCAAAATTCACATTTTAACATAAAGCAGCTGCAATGACAGCACGTCAGAAACTAATACTTTGTCATGATGTATTCTTGATTTTTGTTACACTGAACATCAGGGGTGGATCGAATACACCTTCTATAGGTTCAGCTAACTCAGTAATTTTTGTTCATACCCTATATACGTGTTAATAAATCTACTACTAAATAAGTACAAATAATAGAGTTGGAACCTATTAAATCAAATGGACTGCGATAAATCCCGAACTTGAACCCGTAAAGTTTAAATTCTGGATCTGCCTAGAGCTCTCTACCGAACATAACTAGATACTAAAAAGTAAGCAAATTTGGTTGGTCTTTTGTGAAAGAATATTTTCTTTTTGATTCATGTTAGAGCATACCTGCAAGCTGTTGGCAATTCTTCTGGACTAGGAGGATTAGGAGCCATAACACAATAAAGTGAGTCTCTCCAGCTTGCTGCTGGAACAGATTTGCTGTACAAATCAAAATTGCTAACATGTGCCACTTTTTTTGTATTATCTCGAGTATAATATCGTTTCTTAATCTCGATATCTTGCTCGAAAAATCGCCGAGCTCCTTGTAACATTTCTTCAAGGACAGGTAATGGAATGCCATGATTGACCACTTGAAAAAATCCCCATGTCTCTGATGCATCTCGAACTTTATCCACAATCTCTTTATGCTTGATTGGATCCTTATCAAAGCCTTCAAGATCTATTACTGGAAAAATGAACTTTTTCTCAGTGGAGTTTGAGGAGTTGTGTATGCTTTCTTGTGGATGAATGAACATCCAGGGTACTTTAGTAATTCCAGCATCAACAACCCCTTTAACACCAGCTTTTGTGTCATCAAATGCCTTTAATTCACTCTGTCTATCATAATTTTGTTGAAATGTAGCCTGAACTTCTTCACCACTGGAGAAAACCATCTTTGTTTCTTGTTTTTTCGTGTTTTTAATGAAACTGTAAATACAGGTTACCTTGAAATTGTATGCAGGTAAGATTTATAGATGCAGCAAATATTTGAATGTCACAATCACTCCATAGAAGATAAGGGCAGTTCGGTGCACTAAGCTCCCGATTTGCGCGTGATCCTGGGGTGGAGGGGAAGGGGCGGGGAAGCACAGGAGTCTATTATACGCAGCCTTACCCTACATTTCTGCGAGAGATTGTGGAAAAAGTTCCCACTCTTGGAACACCAGAAGTAAGCTAAGTAAACTTTAAAAATATAAGAATTTACATTTTATAAATAAAAAAGAAAAAGGAACCACTATCTCCAAGACCACACAAAGTTGGATGGGAGAAAGGTAATAAAGATGCCAGCTTTCACTAGGACCACCTTTGGTCACTTTCAGAAATTGAATTGAATAAAAGTGCAGTGACTTAATGGGATTATACTTTGAGCTATAATTTGAGGCCCTATTATTTAAAAATTAATGGAGCATATAAAATATATCATAATCAAAATCAGGTAGGAGTGAGCAAGAACGGAAATAGTTGGTAGAATTTTTTTTTTTTTCTTTCCACCCAAATTAGGAGGATCTATAGTTTCCACACTTCCCTCCAGCGTGACTCGAATCCAGGACCTAACAGTCGTGGATGGAGGTGCTTTAACAACTGAGCATGTATATCTGTTATTCACATATAAAGAGATATGAAGATATCAGGTTTTGCCTTCTGATAACTGCAGAAGTCATTCCAGCATTTACTACAAAACGTCACTACTACCTATAATATTAATATTAATATCCCATCTTTTCTACTTATAGTTCACATATAGGCTATTTCCTCAATAGTCAAATCAAAAAATATTCAATATAATCTGTTATGTGGAGTTTGGTTGATGGTATTAAATAAAACATGCATTAAATTATGCAACAATCATGCGTACTATTTTATGTGAGAAAATATGTGTACTACAAATACAAGGAAAAAAAAAGTATATAAAGATATATGCCGTATAAATAAGTAATCTCTGCATACCTTTTATCATTATTATTTACTGCATAACAATTTTATTTTGCAAGACAATCATTTTTTATTATCCATGGTAAAGATCATTCTTGCATTACAATCGCGCTAGCTAAGCTTGTAATTACTGTAGCTCCCCAAAGGGCCCCTAAGTTTTCAACTCCATAACCAAGTTTAGATTGTGAGATGAGACAGATTGGAAGTTCCATCAAGCCCTTTCTGCTTGAAATAATCAAAGAATTCCTTCAATGTAGTTGCGCGATACTTTGGAGGATTGTCTTCTGATAACAGCTACCTCAATTGGGTCCATACAGTCTGGAAGATGGGCAATGGCCCTGAGCTGAAGAAGCTTGCTATAGATATCTTGGACCAACTTTCTTGACAATGCTCTATGCTCTACACTTTTGACTTGTCATTGTATGAGCTGAAAATTCAAGTTAACAAATTTAAGTGATATGATCCATTAAAATTGATTAAAGAGACTTTATGGAAAACTAAGGTTAAGAAGCAGAGAGGAAGATTATTTAGGGTGGCATCGGCGTGTTCAACTGATCCCATTGTTTTCAACTAGTACTTGCATTGCAGTCCGTCCATTAGTTCGATGATAATACAGCTACTACTGCAACACAGCTACTGGAAAAAGATTCAATACTATAATCTCGTTATTGCGAAGCATGGTTTGGAAAGGTCAGCTAAAAGACGGTATATATCAACATTCAAACCCATTCCTTTGGAGCTGGCCCCGGTGCTTAACATCAGGTTCCCTTGTACACATGCAATAAGATCGCACTTATACTGAACGTAAAGACTCTAGATCCTGAATTCGCCTATGTTAAGAAGTAAGAGGTTGAAAGACTTGCCTGGAGAACGTCGCCAATATTGATCACTAAAGCTCCAGGTGTAGGAGGAACATCAACCCACTGATTCTGGTGAAGAACTTGGAGGCCTCCGATATCGTCTTGCAAAAGGATTGTGAAGAAGTCATTGTCTGTATGTTTGCTGACGCCTATAGCTAGTTCTGGCTGTGGACATGCTGGGTAGTAATTGCACAAAATGCTAAGACCCTCTGAACATTCCATTTCTTTGAGATGGCTTGGTTTTAGACCAAGAGACTCTGACATTAACTCAAGCAAAGTGCACCCCATTTTCTTCACATGATGTGAGTACTCCATTAGTATTTCCCTTCAAAAATGCAAGTAAAAGTTAATAACATTTAGATGTTGAAAGTAGATGACAATTTTTAAGCATTCACTTAACACCAAAAGATGAATGCATCATTTCTAATTAGGATCACTATATGATGTTCATGACGTAAGGGAAGTCTTGATGTAACTGGTAAAGTTGCTGTCATGTGATAACGAGGTCACTGATTCGAGCCGTAGAAACAGGCTTTTGAAGAAATGCAGGGTAAGGCTGCGTACAATAGACTCTTATGCGCCGAGCTGTCCTAATATGATGTTCATGACAGCATTTGACTGGACACAAAGTTGAAGATAGTGATAGTGAATGAAAAATACTAAAGCATTGATAGAAAAAATAGGTGGATATAAAAAACAACATATCAGAGTTAAAGTTAGATAGTGTAATGAATTGGAGTTTCCGAAGGTTGTGAAATTAGTTCAGATATGGAATGGTGTCAAACATTTTGAAACGTCCCAAAATAAAAAATAAAAAATAAAAAAAGCCTCATATAAATTGGACCGATTGAGTAGTTTTCAAGAAAGAGTTTAAGCTTTATATAGGGGAGAAATTCAAAAATAGCCAGATTTACCACTGGTCGTTGAAAAATAGCCAAGTTTCAAAAGTCATCGAAATTTAGCCACTTTAAATCTGAGCGAAAACACTGTTCAAAATCCGAAAAAATACGCCCGCAAATTTTACGGGAGTTCCAGCATAAGTATGCTTGAACTCCCGTAAATTTTACGGGAGTTCCAGAATAACTATGCTGGAACTCCCGCAAATTTTACGGGAGTTCCAGCAAGTATAATTGTCCAGTATAATATACTGGAGTTTGGAGCACTGGTGCTCCAGTCTCCCGCAAATTTTACAGGAGTTAGCAAAGTATACCGGTCCAGCATAATATGCTGGAGTTCGTACACAAATGCACCAGAACTCCCGTATATTATACTGGACCGGTCCCTGTTGCAGCAAAATAGTGGCTATTTTTCATTGACTTGATAAACGCTGGCTATTTTTCATTGACCAGTGTGAAAACTGGCTATACCATGATATTTTAACTTTATATAGTGACGATGAAAATAGATTTAAATAATCATGCCATTTAAAACCTGATAATTATGGGTAACTTAATTTATTGAGTAGCTAGCACTAAGTGGTAACCTATAACAAATGACAAGTAACCTACCATAACAGGTTAAATTACATTGATTTTTAGATTGTCAATATATATAACGTAAATCCTTTCAGAAAGGGGAATATTACGAAAATGTCCCAAATAAGTCATAACTTACCAATCTCTAGCCATTAATCATAGACTTACCAAAACTAGCCAAGCACATATAAAATTAAAAACCCAAATAAATAATGATTCTCTCTCTCCAAGAATCACACGCAAAATTCTCCTTCCATATTTTTAAGCGTGATCAATAACTTAGATGCAAGACGAAAAGGAAATTTCATGGATTAGGTAGCAAATAAGGCGATGAAATACAATATATATATATATATATATATATATATATATATATATATTCCAAAAATTTAAATAAAAAGTGACCTTTTTCAATGGGGTATTGTTGAATTGTTTTGGACAACATATAGATGAGTCAATATACAAAATTTGAGGAAGATTGGAAGTTATTTGGACTGATTTGATATCAAAATTCGTCGTCAAAATCAAGTTTCAAAATTCTTCAGCAACATATGTATCAATCATGTATCACGCACGTAACTCACACACCGGTATACATGGATGTACATATGATATACATTCGATACATACGTGGTACATATATTATCCTTTTTTCATGTTCAGTTTCTACTTCGAATTTTTAATTCAAACCACCTCAAAACTCTACCAAAATATACCAAAACTGAGATTTAAACTCCTTAACATGTATTAATCTATCCAACAACACCCACTCAAAATAAAGCAAAAAGTTGACATTTTTTGGCTACAAATAGCTAATTTTCTAATATTAATAATACTTTATGAATTGGCTAATTTTTGTAGGAATTTTTACCTCCTATAGCAAAGGTTAACACCTTATTTATTTTAAATAAATACCATTTGAAAAAATTATATTCTATAGATACCTTTTAATGTTTATAGCAAAATATCTAATTTTGGTGACCTCCTACCCCTAAGCCACTAAATACGCTATTCAGTTACACTATTTTCTTTCTCTTTCTACTTTGATACATGCCTTTCTTCCCTATTTTTTGGGCTATTCTCCGGCGCCAACGCTCTTGAACTAGACTCCGTCATTCTTCCACCAAATCCCTACTGCTGCTTTTCACAAACCAATTGTCAATATATTCCTCTTTCTTAACCTGTTTCCCCCTTTATAGTAGTAGAAAAATAATTTTCACCAGAAGAAGGCAAAGAAACCTCGATATTATCATCCAAGGGAGACCAGTAACAAGAGATAGCAATTGTGGATTCGCCGGAAATTAGGATTTGTTCTTGAACAAAGACGACGGAGTTTGGGACTGAGCAACTTGATTTTCTGTTAATATATTTCAATGTATTTTCAACGTATCACGCTGTATTTTCATGTATTTCATTGTATTCATTGTCTTTTTTCATTGTAATTCAATGTATCTCGTTGTATTCCATGTATTTCATTGTATTTACCGTCTTTTTTTCATTGTATTTCAATGCATCCCGCTGTATTTTATGTATTTCATTGTATTCACTGTCTCGCTATATGCCATGAATGTATTTATATTTTTTTTTTAATTAATATAATATAACTAGTAATTTCCCTTCAAACAAAAAATGTTTACCTGCATGCCTCAGGCAATTCCTCAGGGTTAAGAGGATCAGGACCCATTGTGGAATAAAGTGAGTCACTCCAATTTACTGATATAGCTTTAGGACTATACAGATCAAAATTGCTATTAAAAACCACCCTCTTTGTATAATCTCTATGGTAATATTGCTTTTTAATTTCGATATCTTGCTCGAAGAAACGACGTGCTCCTCGCAACATTTCGTCCAGGACGGACACAGGAATACCATGATTGATCACTTGGAAAAAACCCCATGTTTCTGATGCATCTCCAATTTGTTTAACCATCTCTTTGTGCTTGACAGGATCATTGTTCATGTTTTCAAGGTCTATCAATGGAAAAATAAAATGTTTTTCCTCGAGGCTCGGGGACTTCCCCGAACCCTCTGGATGGATGAATATCCGAGGTATTTCAGTAATTCCAGCATCGACAAGGCCCTTGACACCGGCTTTTGTGTCATCAAAGGCTTTAAGTTCACTGTTTTTATCATAGTTTTGTGGGAAATTGTCCTGAATTTGTTGTGTGTTTGAGACAACCATTTTGTATATTGGAGGTATATAAGTCATATATTTCATTCTAAGGTATATAAAGACTAGAAAGAAAGGATAGAAAGAAGATAAGAATGGGATGTATTCAAAACTAACAGCCACTTAATTGGAGGTGGCTCTAACATTTCTGAAAATAGTACTAGTAAGCAATTAGTTGTCTTATTTCTGAAAGAAAAAAAAAATTTCATCAAACAAATAATTTAAAAGAATATCTAGTATTATATTAAATTTAGATATTAGGTGACTACGTGCAAATAAATTTTTTATCATTTTAAACTTTGGTAATAATTGACAAGCATACATAGGAGCTAGTACATCCTTATATATGATAAGAAAATGGAACTTACAACGAAACTCAATCCAAAAAGCTAGTTCATTATGTAACAATTGCCCAAAATCATAATACACTGATGTTTGAAACTCAACAGTAGATATCCTAGTTGTTGGTCATATGTATAGAATCAATTTTGGGATTGGGAACAGTATAAAAGATCTTTGAAATCCTTGATAGTCTGGAAAGGAAACGCGAATCTAGCCACCACTTTCTTTATTTAAAGAAAAAAGAAAGAGGGTGCGGGTCAAATTCAGAGGCGAATCCAGGATTTGATGGTTACGGGTGCCACTCATGGGCGAATGCACATTTATCGAAGCAGTGTCAAGCGACACCGCTTCGTGAATTCTTTTGCTAAATATATGTATTAATACTGCGAGGAAGCGGATAAGTAGGAAAAAATGACATCATTTGACATAATTTGTCTCTTGGTGTATTGATTATGTGCTTGATTTTGCTCTAAGAGGTCAAAGGTTCGAACCTCAACTAGCACATCCTTTTTTTTTTTGCAAATATTTGAGAGAATCTATGCGGTTAAAAATTATGATAAAGTATAATTTAATTCAGGACTTTTTTGGACATAAAACTCAACAAAACTAATAGACTAAAGTTATTTCTTGTCTAGAAGTATGATAATTAAAGTTATTATTCCCGTTCCTCTATAAATTTTGACACCGCTTATAAAAATTCAGTGAATGCCTCTCGTGCCACTGCTTTTAATGCAAACCGGCCATAGTGAAGAGATTGAACTTTGGTGTACATTTAGTCGGTTTGATCCATTTTTGATTAATTCGGTTCGATTCTGTCCATTTTAAATTAATTCAATTCAATTTAAAAGATTATTTTATGCATAAATGAATATGTGATCACAAAATCGAATAAGTTCTATCCAATTCGATTAATATGATTAAAAAATATAAAGAAAATAAAATTTAAATTAGGAAATACACCACTTCAATTTATATATAGCTCGATTGATATTATGTCTTTGATGCATCACTCTAATTTTTAGAATTAATAAAATAACATTAGATGGATAAAAAGAAGAAATGATTAAAATCACCTTCAAATAAAATGAAGATCTAGAAAAATAAAAAGGAAGCAAATATACAATTTAAATAAATAGTAAAAAGGAGATTATACAAAGTAGAGTAAAACGGCTAGGACCACAGCAGAGTCTCGATCTTGGGCATTTTATGTGGAGTTTTAGTTATTTAACCGTGGCACCTGCCTGCAGTCATATTGTGACTTGGGGTGCCACTCATTATATATCTCAATATTTTGAGGAAAATACTAATACATATATACAACTTTACTCGAGCGACCGGGTGGCGTACCACCCCTAAACCCCTACATAGATCCGCCACTGGGTCAAATCCGCATCTTTGCGCCCTTTACTTACTTCAAGGGATGGTGCGTCTGATACATGATTGGTTAATGACGATTCTCAAAAGCAGTTGTAAGATCTCAAGGTTTATTAGACGGAATTCGATCAAAATAAAAACTTCGGATATTTTTCTTAAAAAGAGATGAACTGTAGATTTGTATGTAATTGCACGATAGAAATTAAGAGAAAGCCGGCATCCAATCAAGAAAGAATCACTTCGGACAATTAGACTAAGCTTCCTCCTTCTCTCTTCTTTAGCTTATGATGAAGCAAATTCTAGCATAGAGGGAAAATGCAGGATTAAATCATATAGCATCCGCGTTGACTAGAAACGTTTATTTTTAGTATTAGTATTGTTTAATTTGTCTATATGATTTTTGTTTGAATTTGTTGTTGGACAAATTATTGGATTGGTGATTATCTTTAGAATTAAATTATTAACCAGAATATGTAATTTCGATGGCATTTATTTTGATAATTTAAATATTTCTATGATTCTCTTATGAAATTCGATAAAAGTGGCGATTATCACAACTAGGGGTGGAAAAATAGTTCAAAGAAAACAGTTAACCACCCATATTATCCAGTAAAAATTGCGTGGGGTAGCCACTTTTTAAAGTGGTATTTACTTTTTATCCAGCAAGCAAAAGTAGCTACTATTCTATTAAAATTAGTATGAAAAGACGGTATTAGCCTTTATTCTATCTCTTTTTTGTCCATGTTCTCTTCCTTGCTAGTCTCCCCGTCTCTCTTTTCTCCTGAAATCGTAAGATTTAACAGTAGATACACTGAAGAACGCGCTATGATGGATGACAAACAACTACCTTGCAAGATTAATCGCTATCCACAACCCACATAGCAAACTGTTCAAGTCGTTTTTGTATCGTCTCTGAAGGTGACCAAAAGGCAAACTTCTTTCCATTCCTCGGAGAGGTTTGGTTAGAATCCATATAACTGATGTTCAAACTAAGATCAGTTTCATCAACCCTGTGAAATGTAGTTTTCTTTTGTTCCAATAACTTCTCGACTAGATTTACAAATTTTCTTTCTGGCGCAATTGAACCTCTTGTCTTCAAAGAGGCAACCAAGGCAACTACTTTGTCCAAAACGTTGTCAACCCAGACTCTGAAAGTGGAGGATGAATTTCTAATGAAGAAAAGTTTAAAGTCCTTAACTTCGAGTTCCAAGTTCAAAAGTTAAGGACAGGTAATCCTTAACTTAGACTTACAAGCTCATAAATTAAAAACAGCTAGTCATGATCTTACAGTAACAAGCTCATAAGCTAAGGAAACTTGGTCCTGAACTTAGAGTTGGAAGTTCAAAAATTAAGAACATTTGGTCCTTAACTTAGAGTTACAAGCACAGAAATTAAGGACAAGTAGTCCTTAACTTCGAGTTCCAAGTTCATAAGTAAGGACATGTGGCCCTGAACTTAGAGTTACAAGTTCAAAAGTTAAGGACGGGTAGTCCTAAACTTAGACTTACAAGCTCATAAATTAAGGACAACTAGTCCTGAACTTACAGTAACAAGCTCATAAGTTAAGGACACTTGGTCCTGAACTTTATGAGCAGAAGGGTATTTTCGTGCGGGCGGGTAAAAGTTTATTAAAGTAGTGGCTAAAGACTAAAGACATTTTAAACAGTAGCTTAAAAGTAAATACATGTCTTATTACTGGCTAACTGTGCACTTCTCTCTATTATCCATTAAAAATGGGTTGAATAATGAACTTTTTAAAAACGGGTCAAATATGAATAAGAACCATATTACCCATTTAGAAAATGGATAACCAATGGGTCTAACTTTTATACTTTGTAAAGCCTCAAATTGGGGGTTCCTCAAGTTAGAGAGAATTCTCTCAAAAGTGATCATATGCAACAAGTCATGGATAATATGGTTGCCCATATTTTCCGCCGGTTAACTTGTTTTTTATCCGTATTAAATATGGGTCGGGTCGGATAATTTATCCGTTTTTTCATTACCCCTTTTCGACCCGAACCATATCCGACCCAACCCGCCCGTTTGCCACTCCTAATCACAACTCCTCTTACTGTTTCCATCCATTTATCGACAAACCACATAATTAAATGTCGTCAGATCCTTCTCCGACGATTTATTGCTGATTGTCTGTCAAAGTTTTCGGTATTTTTGTCGTGAAAAAATATATTTTGCTTCGGCGGCAGCATCATTATATTGACCATAAGGCGAGTTGATGTTTATACCGTTGATGTTTATACCGTTGATGTTTACTAAGCTAGCGTTTAGACATAAATTTGGTTGAAAATTGAAAAAAGTTTATTTAAAATTATGTTGAAAAATAATTTTATTCGGAATAAAAAATTAAAATTTTGTGAATGGAATAAAAATTCACACAAAAACTGATTTATAGAAGAAAATAAATCAAACTATTTTTTAAAATTTGATCATATTCCATGAACAAATAATGTTCAAAAAAATAGCCAAAATTCATGACTAAACGGTAGCAAAATTCGAAGTTGGTAGTTGAGAGGAACTGCCTCCTAATATCTCTGGAGTTAAAACGACAAAAATAGTCATTATTTGACGCTCCTCTGACTACCACTTACCAGGATGAAATAGACAAAGATTTCTCGTAGGTTACCATTTAAGTCCAAAATTTTCGAGGATTAGTTAATACGAATAACCAAACGCGGATAAAATAATCCCGCATTTTATCCCGGGATTATAATACCTTATCCTACCGACCAGACGGCTACTCAAAACCTATCAAGATTTGAGTTACTATGGTTGGAAAGTTATTTAAATGTTTAAAGGATAAGGTATTAGACATAAAACCAAATTAAAAACTTGTGCAGAACTTTCATCACATTTTCAATCTGTGGGTGAAATAGTGTAACTGCTGCAAATTGAGGGCTTGAATGCAAGAGAACCAACAATGGCTAGTATCAACTAGATATTCCTCTTGTAGCGTTGTTGATATCTAAATAATTCTCGAAGTTTAAAATTGCAAGCAAAAGGAAAACAAAAAGATAAATGCTAAAAAAAGGTTGGAAAAGTTCAACCAAAATAGAACAAGAGGTAAATGCAGTAAAGCTGCAAAAATACAAAGCTTACAAGAAAATTTCTCAGACTATGGTACTGTGACAACATGCAACAAAATTGCACCTATCTCTTAATTTGTTTTTGACTTGGGAGCCTTCTTCTTTGAAGATCTCCTGGGCATAGAGTTCTTCATGCCAATGAAGAAGAGGAGTGCTCCAAGCAATGCCAAGTTCTGTTCGAAACAGTGAGAACAGAGGACGCCATTAAGAAAATTGCAGATAAGACAATCAAACAAATCGATATTTGGTAGAATAAGTTTAAGATATAATAATTTAGAGAGCAATTCAATGGCTAACCTGAGAAAACTTGAAAAAGAGTTGAACAAATTCTTTCTTGTCAACATCATAGTTGTAGAAGTCATACAAGATGGGGGAAGCAATGGCTTGATGCAACAGCTGCATAAACCAATAACAAAATCAAGATTAGTTGTATGAAACAAGAAGGTTCAAGCAAATCCCCTTCTCAATGAATTCCCAAAAAAGAAGGGGGCATAATTTAAAGAAAGTCCAATGAGAAAACAACAAAGAGTGTGATACAAACCAGAATATAAGCTCCAAGAGAGCTGCCAAAGATGAATAGAAGGCTTCCAAGACCCTTCATTACTATGGCCCCCAGAATAAGATGTTTCATCTGTGAATCACATACATAGTGTTAAATTAGATAGAACTAGAGAGAGTCAAATAGGCCAAGCCAAATAGTTACCTCTACATGTGGTACTTGAAATCCAGTGTGTGTTGCCACATGCTTTGAGAACACGTTGAACTTTAGTCTTAATGCTTTTGCTGCTGGCCCGCCATCAGCCCCAAATTCACTGAACCTATAACCAGTAGCAGTAAATGAATGATGCAATTAGTACTACTGTCCAAGACAGCCAATAGTTTCTCTTCCTAGGTTCTTCGGCCAAAAGCATCCAATGCATACATATCAATCAATGAACAAAACATCAAAATCCAGTAGTTAGGACTAGAGGACTATTATATGAACCGTCCATATCAATTCCACTCAAATCCAAAACATTCGATGCATATCTTCCCAAAAATATGTAAGACAGTTAAATCGCAGAGGAAGATCATTTGATGGTTGTTATCTTCCTTTCTAAGTCTAAATGCCTCTTGAAGGATGATGCTACTGCAGAAAGATAAAGACCACCTTTTGTTACAGCTATAACTACATGTTTGCACCACAGTAAATGTTTCACAACATTTCAGTAGTTATTGCCCTCTAGCAGATCTCTTTTTGCCTTCATCTAACAGCTCTTTGGTACCACATGAGTTTCAGAAAGAGAGGAAACAAGTCAAAAGTAGAATGTGTTTTCTTTATCCGACTCCTCACCCACCAAAGACTAAGAGGAAAGTTTATGCACAGCTTTCAACACAATGTGCCAATGAACACAAGTTATCGACCTTTTTCAGACTTGAGGAAGGTAAAGATATCATCCATGCACATAAAATGGTGCAAAAGGAATTTTATTTCTAAGTCATCATTAGGCCCTTAAGACTTGGGTTACATACTAACAAAGATTGTACACAAGTATAAACTTAAGAATTGCATCAAAAAGGGAAATGCTTGTTCAATCAATTTGAAAATGAGTTCAGTAATGTGTTTATCGATGGGCAGATAACTTCTTTTACAAATAGTTCATTGATCGGGCAAGAGTATCTATAAGCTAAACTAGTATACAATGACAGACTCAGGTGAGAGAATTGTAAGGCAGTTACACCGTAGAACACCCATACCATACTCATTCATTGATAATTACATCTACAAGCAATAACCCACCGAAAATACAAAGATATCAAGCTCCCAATACCAACTTCGACAATCTAGATCTGGCCTCGCATTTAGAATTTGTAATGTAATTCCCCTCTAGCAATATAAAACTCCAAAGATAGATCAAACCAACCAGTAGTTCTAGCAACATATCAACTGCCAACATAATAGGCATGCTTCAATCAATGATGTACACAAGAAGGCACAATAACCTAGGTCTAGACTCAAGCTATGTATTCCTTCATGCCAAATAGTCAGTCGCATAGTTGTAAATCTACACCTTGAATGGATCGATACACAGAGCCAAAAAACACACAGTTCCAACCCAAAGCTTCCTAAATTCAATATCCAAGTCAAGGAAAGTAACATAAAAACATTGGGATACGGCTGATCCGACTACATGAACTGATTCAAAATCCCAATTCCAAATCCATTACACTAATTCATCCAATGATCCAACTCTGCAAGCAAATCAATTGAACCAAGTTTAAACATGGTCAAGGTCAACGCATTAACAACCTAAGATTCCAGATTGAATCTCAATTACAACACTCAGCAGGTCAGCCTTAACCATAAGCTCTAACCATGGTAGGCAGGTTTATCTAGCTATCCGCAAGAGACCATCACCAGAGGCAGACGTGGCGTGCTAACTACATATTTTTGAGACGTAGTATATAGGTATATATGTGAAAAACTACTATAATAAATTCGGAACCCAGTAAGCTATGACCTGCCTCTGCAACCAATGCAGGACACTCTAAAAACCCACAAAAAAATGGGCGGATCCGCATGCTAGCTAGTACAAGCAAACCAACAAGGTTGCAACTTGCAACACGAACCATATTTTCTAATTTTTGAAATTTAAATATATTAGGTCAACTCGGTTTATCATATTTCGTATCAACTTAAAATTCTGGATCCATCTCTGTCTCTGTAAGCAACGAAAAATAAATCTAGCTTCCCTCACTATACACAAAAATCCATACATCAAACCAAATCACAAACACAGATAACTAAATGCAATTAAATAAAAATAAAAACCTAGCTTTCCTCACTATACACAAAAATCCATACACTAAACCAAATCACAAACACAGATAACTAAATGCAATTAAATTGAGATATGTAGATGCTGAATACATTGATGTGCGTGAAAAATACACGAAGTACAGGTGAAAAAAGAAGAGCAGATCTGAAGAGAAAAGCTTACTCTTGATAGGCGGAGAGAACGAAGACTGATACGAAGAGAGCTCTTCCAAGGAAAGATACGAACGCCATTACGCAATGCTTCAAATTTCTCTCTCTCCTTTCTTCTTCTTCTTTCTCTCTCTAGAAAACAGACAAGTTCAAACTAGAGAGAGAGACAACAGGGATCTTGTTTGAAGTAGTTTTCGTTTATTTATAGGTAATAAAACAATAAGAGTAAAATTATAGAAATACGTGGAAATAGGCGGTTTTTGTTCTTTGGTCCCTTGAGTAATGGTAAATTCAAATTTTGGTACTGAAAGATTTTTATGAGCATATCTTAACCTTCGATTATTCTATGGGGAATATATAGTGACTTTCTTTTCCAATGAATAAGAAGATGTACTGAGAATAGAAAATGTGTGTAATGTAACTTCTAAATCAAGAGAAATTTATTAACTTTTCAATTATTGCTTTGTTGATGCTAGGTGTGTCAATGGATATTTAAAAATCGACTAAACTGACCGAATCGAACCGCATCGAATCAATTTTTAGGTTTCTTTTAAAAGAACAGTATGTTTTTATATAAATCTATAACCTTACAGATAAGTAGGATAGGTTTTTTATTTTATAAAAATAAATCGAAAAAATATCGAACCGTACCAAATATATTTACAGTGTAAAATATATTTATATAATAAGTTTAAAAATAATAAAGCATTGAATTTTCTTTGGGCCTTGGAATTATGAAAACGATTACAAGCCAACAAGGTAATTAAACTCAAAATACTAATTCCTAAAACCTATTATGCTACTTCTACTTTGAATTAAGTTATTTCCAACATCTTCATTAGCAAAATACAAAGTATTCTAACGATTATGAATAGCAAACTATAATGTATTGAATATGTTTCCTTTCATATAATTTAAATTTTTATTTTTGAATATTTAATCTTCTATAGACTTGATTCTTGAGTCCTATATTAGTTAATATCTTTCCAGTCGTGTGATTTATACTTTGTCTTTGCTTGGTTCTTTTTAAGTTACTGTAGAATAGTTGATTGATCTATACTCTGGCAATCTTTCATATTTTTTTTAATTCATCACCCTTTAAACTGTAAAAATGTCTAGAGAGTTTTGTTAAGTCCTATAAAATAACGTATGTTATACCATTCTACTTCTACTGGTGACTTTTACATAACATTTACAAAAAAAAAAAAAAAAAAAAATTAACTGAACCGTACCGATACGGAAGAGAAACCGACATGATTGGGATGGTTTCGAAAAGTCTAATTTTGGTTAATACATAATAGAATAACCGAAAAATTGGTATGGTACAAATTTTATAAAATAACCGGTCGAACCGAACCATTGACACCCCTAGTTGATACTCCCTCCGTCTCATAATATGTGTCATGATTACTAAATATAGTTGTCTCAAATTATTTGTCATTTTAGAAGTTCAAGACAAAATTGGTTATATTTTTCCCTTTTTACCCTTAATAATCAATTGCATTCACATTTAGTAAAAATATGGATGATGTCACTGATAGAGATGACACATAAATTGAGAAAATATTTAATAAGGGTAAAGCAGTCAAAAACTATTCTTTCTTAAGAGGCGTGCACAAGAGAATCACTGACACATATTATGAGTCGGAAGGAGTAGGATTTTAGTTATCATTAATAGAGATAATTTAATAAAACAAACTATTAATAAATAACTTCTTAGGGGAATGCCAAGTTAATACTAAACTAATAAAAGGAAGCAGAGGAAGTACCGTCTTAGAAAAGTAAACACTATTTTTTGGGAATTGAAAAAATAATGTTTAGTTGGATTAGTAAGGAAATTTAATCTTCCATAAGGTCAAGCGTTAATTAAACCAGTATTTGGTTGTTGTTTTTTTATAAATAATATTTGCATAACTTATGGGAAAAAATTATGTATTAATTTAAGCAAGATAAAATATGGAATAAAAATATGGCTACTAGTAATACATTGATTAAAAACACCCAAAAAAGATACATACATAAATAATGTTGGAATTTGTATATTATTTATGCGAGATAGTATAAAAATAAGAATGTGATTATTAGTAATATATAGATTAAAGCAACTGAAATAAAAAGACTAAGTATTACAATATTAAGCAAACTCTTTTCTTTAAAAAAGTATATACATATCATAAAGTATACATTGTATAGGTAGGGGTGTTCATAAAAACCCGAAAAACTGAACCAAACCAAACCGACCAAAAAAACCGATACTTTTTTATTTGGTTTGGTTTTGGTTTTGAATTTTAAAAACCGATCAAATTTGGTTTGGTTTTGGTTTTAATAAAAAAATAATCGAAAAAAAACCGAACCAAACCGACTATATGAGCAGCTATTTCAAATTTATTATTTCACCTATATATATGTATATTTTTATACAAAGCTTCAAAAATTTTATGGTGAATGTTAATCGTTTGCACTTTTAGTACAGTTCTTTACCTTTATATTCTAGTTTGATTGGTAGTTTTCTTTTGTTAAGTGTAAGAATCGATTTCATGTTAAAAAAATATATTTTTAATTGAGTCCTTAAATTATTCATCACTATTTGATTCAATTATCATCAATATATTTTAGTAAATAATAGATTTCACAAAAGGCAATTGATTTGATAGTGTTACGTCGAAAATGTGGTCGCCGGAATATGTGTTTGGTAGTGTATGTCTTATATTTAAGAAAAAACCGACAATTAACCGAAAAAATCGAAAAACCGACAAAACCCGACATAAACCTAATCGAGAAAAAACCGACTTAATTGGTTTGGTTTGGTTCTAATATTTGAAAAACCGACTTACTTGGTTTGGTTTCTTTTTAGGGAAAACCGATCCAAACCGAACCATGAACACCCTTATATATCGGAGTAATGTAATATATCTAGGCTAAATATTCTAACATGAAATAACTGTTGCATCTCTACATTACAATTCATGCACTATTAATCTCTACATAATTTATTTAGTTGCTATTATTACACTAAAATTATAAGTTTTGTCATGCTTAGATACTTGTATGCTCTTTTTTGTAGAGATAAATGTCATACTTAGAGAATGCATAGTTTAAAAAAATTTAAATATCTGTAAAGATAATTACGTATTTAATTGTAGAACGCATAATAATAATTGATATGTTTGGAAAAATAATATCGTCGAGCTAAATTAATTGGGTTTGACGCATACTTTATTAAGTGGCATATCTATTACGTGATTCACTATTTAAGGATCGATTAAATTGGTAAAGAGTTGGAGCCTTGGAGGGAAGGAGAAGGATAAAAATGCACATTTTGATTCTCTTTGAAAGTTAAAGTTAATCTCATAATTAACAAATTTGAAACTTATTAATAGTTGAGGGACTAAAATCTAAAATCACAACTTTTTTCGGAAAAATTCACATCTCTTTTTTCTCTTTTGACTGCTTAATTGAGTTTTATAATTCCCTCCACTGTCGGCTTTGAGTTTCACTATTCAGGCGGCTAACGCTCGCGAGTGAAATATAAGACTGTACTCGCTTTGTCGTTAATTGATTTGTTCAAACGAACGGTTGATTGAAGGAGACACGTTTCACAACCAATAGCATTTGGTTTAATGATGTAACATTGAGAAACGTGGCAGTTGGAATGAGCGAGTAGCTTACCAGTAAAGTAAAAGAGTATGGAAAGACTATTTTTGTGTCCTTCTCGAATGTGTCCCTTTTTTAGAGTATTTTCTTGTTGACCCTTTATGGCTTTTGTTCGTTTCATTTTGGTCCCTCTCTTTAGAATTGGAGTTCCTTATGTGATTTTTCATTAGTAAAATTATTAGCAAATTAAAGAGCATGTTTGGATAACTACCTAGGAATTAGGTTTGAGTGTAATCATATAGTTTAATATGTTTATCTAGCCAAGTAATTATTTAGTCAGTATTAAATTGAGTGTAACTGAAGGGGTGCAACTACATTCTCCAATTCTCAAAGAAGATGCGATAATTGGTTGTAGTTACACTATGCAATTATAAGCTAATACAACCTTTTTTTAATATAGTTAGATCTTTCTATAACAGGCATCTTCTATAACAAGGCAAGTTTTCTTTGGAACCATTTTTAATATTATGTTATAATAGAAGTAATCTATAATAGCACTTCACTGTAGCAGCCAAAAAAATATCGAAACAAATGAAGTTGTTATAGAAAGATTTGACTCTATATTAAGTACTATAATTTTAAACTTCTCTTCCATTTCTCTTATCCTCCTATTTTAACCTTCTAGTGTGTTGCTTATGGTGTGCTTTCATAATTTACAACTTCTCATATTTTAATTTTTTATTTTCTATTGTTCGTTATTATTTTTTGAGTTGTCAAACACAACTTCGTATTTTCCTAACTTTATTTTTATATCTCAATATAAATAATTAATAAGAAAAGAATATCTATCTTTTTGATATTTAGAAAAGACAACAAATCATGAATTTCATATTGTAATCATGTGAGTTGGTAAAAAGTTAAAATCATAATTGAAGCTTTTATTAGTTAGTCTAAATTAAAATATTAGTAATTATTTAAAAGATAGTCAAGTTATCGATTATTCTTTACTATATTAAATTACCAATTAAAATACTTTTATTTTTTTAAATATGTAATCTAAATACTTAGTTTTAGTAATGTCTATATATATATATATATATATATATATATATATATATATATATATATTTGTCTTATTTGAATATGAATATTTTACGAGATGATCACTTTTTCAAAAGTCTCCATTTCATGCATCACGATTAGTTGCATTCATTATCTTTAACGAGGAGTCCTTCCCCTAGTAGGTCATACATGCATTAATGTAGTTGCATTAATAGGATCAAATATAAATGAATTGGGTCCTATCCAGTATCCAACTCACATCAACCATCAGGGAGTATAGTCTATGCCCTCTTCCTTCTTTGACTGTTTTTTCCGTTTTCAATAAGTTACCTCGGACATCTATCCGATTTTGAAAATTAGGGGGGTCCCGTAAAAAAAAATTCTAAAGGAATGTAGTATATGTCTTTGATTATTTTATCTTTTTGATTCTGTAATAATTATTTTTAATTTTTATATGTCTATACTCTGTTGAGTTTAATAATTTTAGTAACTTAGACGATCTCAGCAGTTCAAATATAATATGAGTTTGAGTTTAC